ACTTCAATTTATCTTTTGTCCTTGTTAGGTTAACCTATTCGCCCCCTCCCCCCCAAAAAAAATGCTGTGTCGTGTGATTCCGTGAACTTTTAGCTACATAAAGGCAACTTTAAATGAGGGAGGGGGGGGGGGGTCTTGTCAATGTTACTCTGCACATAAATACCACGTCAACTAGTTTTGACGCTGATTATAAGTAGATCTATATCTAAATTTAAGAAGTGATTTATGTATCCTAACGTATGTCGACGATTTCCATAAATGCTTCTATGTAAAAGAAGAGTTACTACCGAAAAGTTTTGTTCAGGGATGAACCAGTAAATCTGGTAACCTAGCTCTTCCAAAGTCAATTGACAGAACGAAGAGACACCAAAAATGTTACAATCAAGAGCTGAGATTAGTCACCTGATTGCCGAGAGAGTAAATTTGGGGCTCTAGTTAACAATCAACAGGAACTGGCCTTGCCGCCTGTTTTTCTTCTTTACAAATACAAACTTAGACATTTCGGAAAGGATCTATTAAGATGGCACTGTTCTAGCTTAACCCTCGACGCTATCAACCGATCATATGACAGGATCATAAATACGAATTCTTCGGCGGAAGCCTTAACGGGCAGCTCAATTACTCATTCACTGCCATAACCTTCAAGACTGACCTGTGTTGTGTTTGTTGTTTTGTCATCGTCGGGATTCTTGCAGACTTCAAGCAGAAAAAAAAGGTTTAACCATTTACTATCCAAGATCCAATTAATAATTCCCTCGTATTACTCTCTTAAATTTCATCGAAAATTGGACAAGGTAGTTTGGTGTTCAACATAATACCCTTAAGCCAATAAGCTTGTCTTTTCTCATAACCTGATTGCAAAAAGACATATCGGTATCACAAAGAGAAGTCTCAGGTCAATTTCTTCTGGGGGCTAAGAGGAAGAATTAAGTAGAAAATAAGAATCGCGGCTCGGAGTCAAATCTAGGGAGGAAATTATTATGTTAAATAAATAATTTTATCTTTACTTACCCAGGATTATTTTTTGCATTCGTTCAGAATTTACTGTTTTTCCGATACAATTTGGTGGACCACCTGCAAAATGCCATAAAAAGAGTAAGATCATTATTCCCGTGACGTTGTTTGCTCTTATTTTCTATTCTCTTGGATTGTCGGGGTTTTCTTTTGTCTGTGTTTCGTTCAAATGATATCTCTAGTTGTTTATTGGTAGTTACC